ACGTAACCTAGAGCTCACCGAGATGACTCAGCGAGCTCACGTGCACGTAGTCGTAATACTATCCCCCATTCCTCCTAGCGCAGTCCCGTGCGCATAACTAGTGTAAGGAAAACATCTCACGGTCGCCATACTTCTTCTTCCCTTTCCATCATAAACGACAAATCCCCAAGGAAACGCCTCGAACAGCTAAAACTCGCAAGAAAGATAGAAGACGTTGGCTACGAAATAACACCCTGCTCCTGCTGTGCGAAGGAAAACCGTCGGTGTGTGATAGAGTCCTCTGTCTCTTCTCGGTGTGCCGAGTGCGTTCGTCGCAGACGCTCCTGCGATGGGCTCTCTGACGAATAGGAGAAGAACGTTCCCAGAGAGAAGGACTAGGAGTCGATCGAGCGACAAAAGGCTCGCCTAGACGAGTAGGAAGAGGAGGCGATGGCGAAAATCCTCCGCCTCCGAAAACAAAAGAGGTTTCTCCTAAAGAGAAAGAAAGAAATGATGCGTTGTGGTCTGCGATACCTCAACGAACTAGATTCCATAGAGGAGAAGGAAAGGCTGGAGAAGGAAGAGCGGGAGCGGGCCGCAGCCTCGTCTCCGGCTGCCTAGGAACCTTCCAACATCGATTGGAATGCCCTAGAAGCGTCTCTCCTTCCTGCTCCTAGCGACCCTTCCGCCCCTGTTCCCTCCTGGGAAGGCCTAGATACCGGCGGTAGAAGTCAGTTAGGATCTCAGGGCAGCTAAGATTCGATTTGGGCTCCCAAGTGTTCTCTGACTGTGGGTATCCTTGCCACTTGATCAAATACTTGATCCTCCCCCTGATATACTTGCAATGTAGTATCTGTTCCACCTCATACTCGGCATCTGGGTTGACTGGGTCGATCTCGACTTAAGGAGCCGGTGGTGCTCCTGGTGGCGCGAGCTCGAGAAGTGATATATAGAATGTTGGGTATATCCTCATATTCTTAGGCAACTATAATTCATAATTAACAGGTCCTTTCACTCTTTTGATCTTATATAGCCCAAGCTTCCTATAGTCGAGTTTGTCGCTTAGCCTCTTAGTTTTGATGTTTTTTCTGATCAAATATACCCTATCCCCCTCTTTTAGCGTAGGCTCCTAGCTACGTCGCTTGTTGTAGTAGTGCGCAGTGCGCTTAGAAACAAACTGTAACTCAGAGGCTAGCTAGGTGTGTAGTTCCTTAATCTTAGAGACACGGACCCTAGCCAGGTTATTATCGATAGCTATAATCCCTAGTTCTTTGTATGCCACGGGTTCATAACTAAAGTTAGTATAGAAAGGCGTTACCTTCGTAGTCTCTATGGTTAAACTATTATATACAAACTAGGCAAGCGGTAATAGTGCTACCCAGTTGTCCTGTTGGTAGTTAACATAGTATCTTAAGTATGCTTCGACTACCTAGTTCATCCTCTTATTCCCTCCATTAGTCTATAGATGGAATGCTGTGGTTATCTTCCTCTTAGTTCCTAGAGCGGCTGTAAGGGCGGTCTAGAATTTAGAAGTAAAGAGCTTGTCTCAATCCGAGAGTATCTCTTTCGGTAGGCCGTGCCTACTGACTACCTCCCTAAGGAAGGCATAAGCGAGTTGTTCAGCCGTACTAGCTTCCTTATAGGGTACTAGTATTATGTACTTCGTAAGCCTTTCCATAATGACTAAAATCGAGTCGTAGCTAACTCCCGACACTAGATCCTTAGACAGTGGGAGTTTTGTAATAAAGTCCTACGATATTAATTTCTAAGGAGTGTTTAGTATAGGGACTGTTCCCATAAGTCCGTATGGCGCAAGGCGGCTCGCCTTGTTCCTAGTACAAGTATCGCAGCCCTTAATAACTCTTTTAATAATAGCTCTTATCGACGGATACTAGTATTCCCTCGAGAGTCTGGAGAAGGTTCTCCGTTCCCCCTGATGGCCATAAGCCGGCAACTCGTATTATTCTCTTATAATCTCTTCTCTAACGCTTAAGGGAAAGTAGATTCTCCCGTTATATGTGAGCAGCCCTCCAGGCGTCTTCCTAAAGTACTATGAAACGGAATCTACTATTAGATCCATAGTATAGGCTTCCTTAATACGGGTTTCTAGTAGAGTTCCGTCCAAGCGCCTTAGAGAGGCTATTTCTCTGATTATTAGCGCTAAGTCCCCATTATTAAGTGTATAAAGCAAAGGTTGCTTGTTGTATACTTTATCGTTCTCGTATCCGGGTTTTCTGCTAAAGGCGTCGGCCCTCGGGTTCTATGTGCCTAGTACATGCTTGATCCTTAAATCAAAGCTAGTAAGTTCCTCAGACTATCGCACCAACCTTCGATTATTAAGGACTTTAGTGGTTGTAAAAGCCCGAAGATTCATATGGTCGGTGTGGATAGTAACTAGGAACTTAGCCCCTTGGAGGTACACCCTCTAATGCCTAAGTGCCTCTACTATTGCCAGAAGCTCTTTCTGGTAAATATCGTAGTTTTGCTCTATAGGTAACATCTTCTTAGAGAAGTACGCGATAGGGTGTAACTTTCCGTCGTCGGCTTTCTGCAAGTATACTGCTCCTATAGCTGTGTCTGATGCATCGGTCTCAACGATGCTTTCTCGATCCTCCTAGTACTACTAGAGTATAAGCTCTTCTAAGAATCTAGACTTTATCTCTTAAAAAGAAGCCTCCGCTTGAGGTGTCTATACGAACGGGACATCCTTCTTAGTAAGCGCCGTAAGTAGTTCCGCGAGCTTAGAAAAGTCTCGGATGAACATCCTATAGAAGTTAGCAAAGCCTAGAAAGGACTAGATATCCTTAACCGTCTAGGGTGACTACCATTCCCTTATCTCTTGTAGTTTGTTCGGATCGACTAACACTCTTCCTGGTTTAATAACATACCCTAAGTACTTTGTACTAGTGACTCCGAAGTTACACTTCTTGAGTTTAAGCCTAGAGTCGACCTTAGAGAGGGCTTCGAAGACTAGGCGTACGTGCCCCTCATAGTCCTCTCTTTTTTGTGAATATACCAAAATGTCATCTAAATAGCAGACCACAAACTTGCCTAGATATTCCCGCAGAATATCGTCGTTCTGCCGTTGGCACGTAGCTGGCGCGTTCGTAAGCCCGAACGGCATGATAGTGTACTCCCATAGGCCAGAAGGCAGCAGAAAAGCTGTCTTCCATTCGTAGCCTTCCTTGATCCTAATTAAGGCAAAAGCTATGTTCTGATCTAGCTTTGTATATATGACTACTAACCCAATTGCATCCCTCAGACTTTGGAGATTGGGCAAGGGATAAACGTCCCTTACTATAGCGTCATTCAGTCCTCTGTAGTCCACACAAGGCCGTCCCTTTGGTTCGTCCTTCTTGTGCGCGATCAGTATATTCGATGCTATAGGGGACTTGGATTTTCTAATCCACCCCTTCGCTAGCGCTCTCTGCACGTACTCCTCGAGTATACCTAAAGTCTGTGGGTTGTGCCGGCGAAGCTTCTAGTAAGGCGGCTGCTTGCCTTCCTTTAGGTTGATCTTGTGGTCCTAGGGCTAATGTTTAGGCAAGGCCCTTAAGTCTTCGGGGTCCTCAAACAGCTTAGTGTACTTCCTATAGGGATAAGGTATTCCTTCTCGTCCCTAGTCAAGCGGCCCAATAGTCGTTTGACCTCGTGCCTTAGAGGCCGTGGCACTAGCCTCCCTGGGTTCCTGTAGTCACTCATTTGGGCAATCGCATCGATTTAGCCTCAAACTATGATCTATCCAATTGAGTTCTGAGTTGTGCTCCTGTAGCTAGGGAATCCCCAGAACCACCTGGTGTCGACTAATAGGAGCAATGTCCAAGACGATCATCTCGACATATCCTTGTATTTTCATTCGTAGAGGGGCTGTCTTATACATAACCCTTCCCTCGTTTTAAGCAATAGCTATCTCGTCTATCGTACTCAGTCGGTATAGCTCGTCTTTCGGCCAAGCTAGTATGCCTAGCTAGAACACTACCTTCCCTAAGATATAGTTTCCCTAAGCTCCTAAGTCGAGCATAATTATGGTTGATATTCCCTAGATTATTGCTCGTATCTAAAAGTGACTCGTACTTCCCCGAATTGTTTTCACTGTTGCACTCAGTTCCCTGGAGGACTCCTTAATGAATCTCACCCGAGCTTATCGACGTCCTTCCGTTGTGAGGATTTCTACCACTTTTTGATTAGTAAACTAGCATTCCCATCTTTTTAGGGATGTGTTCTATTCCTTTAGTCGGTATAGAGTCCTTTCCCGCAATCTAGCTGTAAGTGGGTTGTTCTATCGCTATACTACGAACCTTACTCTCCATCCTTTGAAGGGTGGGAACACCGCTTCCCTCCAGACCAAAAGGCTTTGGTTG